AGATGGAGATGAGATGGGAGATGGAGATGAGATGGGAGATGGAGATGGGAGAAGGAAGCCCCCTGAGCTCGTTTCTTACCACAGGGCCCCTTGTGCTTCACCCTGATGTCCCTCTTGAGGACGCAGGCCATGGAGTCCAGCTCGCAGGGGTTGCCATAGGTGCGGTTGTCGGTGCCACACACGGGGTCGTAGCGGCCCTGGCAAACCTGCTGGCACTCACACACGGGCTCCTGGTTCTTCACCACACACGTGGCCCCAAAGGTGCACTCCACGCTCAGGCAGGGGCTGGGTGTGCCCAGGTCTGCAGAGGGGACACAGAAAGGGCAGAGGGCTCAGCCAGCTGAGCTCCCCCTCCAGCTCCCCCCCCGGGCACTGAGCACAGCCAGGCATGCCAGCAGCCCCAGCCACAGCACCCCCACACCTGCCTCTCCCCCAAAAGCCACAGAGCTCCTGGCCCTGGCCCCAGCCCAGCCCCTGCCCCCTCCATGCCACCCCGACATGCCCGGCTCAGCGTGGTCCCCATGCTTGGCAGAGGTTAGGGAGGGGAAGCAGGCACAAGGTCTTCTCCCTGCACGCCACAAGTGGGATTCCTGCCTCGTCTCCTCTGTCCCATCACCGTCCCAGGGACGTTCTGCCCCTAAGAAGTGGGATCAGCAGCACTTGCAGAACCTTCAGTAGCCAAACAGCTCACACAGGGACAGCTCCCTCCACTGAGATCCACGTCCTGGGGGTGCCTGTCCCCTGAACTGCTCAACCTAAGCCCAGGAAGATCTGGCTGGAGAGGACACCTGCATTTGGCTCCACCACACCACCCATGTCTCTCCTGTCCCATCCCCTCCTCATCCCTCCTCAGCCCAGGGAGCTGCCGTGGGGCAGGATGAGGAATGTCCTCGTTTCAGCCCCATCCTCGGGCACGTGGCTCCAGCAGAGCCCTGGGGCTCCCTGGGGATGGGCAAAGCCCCCTGGCACAGGCTGCAGGCTGGGAAGCAGCATTTCCTCTGCTCAGCCACGGCCAAGCAGGTGGCACCTTCCCTGTGGGGATGCTCGGGGTGACAAGGTGAGCAGCCAGCACTGAGAGCAAAGAGCAAAGGCCGTGTCCAGATCCCTGGTACAGCTCTGGAAATGCTGGCAGGGGAAGCCCTGGGGTCCCTCCCAGGCAGGAATACCCCTCCAGGAATTCCCCCCACCATCCAGGAGCCGAGCCAGGCAGCTAAAAGGCAGGGGGACAGACCCAGCCCTGCCCAGTGACCCTTCTCGTGCCTCCAGACAAAAGCCCCGAGGACCCGGGGCAAGGAAAGGACACAGATTTGATCCGTGCTCAACACTGACGAGGACACAGGACAAAACACAGGTGGGGAACACACAATGCAGCCAAGAGGAGATGGAGGCAACAGGCAGACACAGCACAGCCCCACCAACACCCGGCAGAGAGGCAGGCACAGAGGGGAGCATGGTGGGAAAGGTCCCTCCGGAGCCTCTGGAGTGGCACTGGGCACCTCCCCTGCCAGGACCACAGAGCAAGAGCAAGGCTTGAGCCCTCAGGAGCCTGGCTGCATGCTGGCAGCCAGGGAGGAATGGCCCAGCATAGGCACAGGCACGTCCAGATCAGGGATCCTGCTCTTTGGGAACAGTCAACAATTAGAGCTGAGGGTCTGCAAAGGAACAGGGGAGAGGGGAGAACAGTTCAGGCACAAAGCAGCTGCTCCAAGCCAGCCTTTTCAGCTGTGTGCCCAACTTCCCTGCAGCTGAGGAGCTTGTGAGCAGTCCCCAGGGATGGGGAGCAGCAGAGCTCAGCCCTGTGGTGCAGCTCACATCAGCCTCTGCTTCCCTTTTGGAAACATCTGTCCCGTGATCGTGTCCCCCAAGCACAGAGACAAAAGTTTGCACGGAGAAAGTGCCTCTGATGGACACGATTAGGTGAGAGGCACAAAGCAAATACATTCCCTCACCTGAAACCCAGAGTCACTTTGCTCCTGCCTTGGGAAGCAAAGGAGCAGCGAGTGGGAGCACGGGGAGGTGCCAGCCCTGATGGAGAAGGGTGCCCTGACACTCCCTGCCCTTCTTAAGCAGGGAAACGGGCAGAGATGCAGCACATGAAGCTCCTTCACAGCCCAAATCCCAGGCTGTGAAATCTCACACGCAGCCCTGGGCACCTCCAGACGTCACTGGGAGTTTTGGCACCACTGTGGGTGGATGCAGCGAGGACCTACTGAGCTGTGCTGTAATCAAGACCTGCTTTGATTCCTGGCCCTTCTCCATCTTGCAGACAGAGAAACCCAGGCACAGAGAAAGCAAAACGCTCTCTCTGCACCCTGAGAGACTCCAGGGCACAGTCCCTCACCTGCTACCCAGCTTGGAAGTGTTCGAGGCCAGGCTGGATGGGGCTTGGAGCAACCTGGGCTAGTGGAAGGTGTCCCTTCCCACAGCAGGGAGTGGGACTGGAGGATATTTAAGATCCATTTCAACCCAAACTATTCCATGCTTCTGTGCAGACACCTAACCAAGCCCCTGGGCACACTGAGCTCTCCTGCCAGCCCCAGCTGAGGATGCCTGTGGAGAAGAGGCTCTGAAGCTGCCTTGGAACCAATCACACCCCATCAACCCATGCCTGTGACACCCACCGGGCTCCGGCACCAGCTCCACAGGGAAATATTCCTAGGGAAGGACCACTTCTGAGCACAGAGGGCTCCTCAGTGCTTCCAAAAGGCACGTGGTACTTTGCTGGACACCAGAGAGGGAAGCTGTGATCCCTGCAGAGCCCCTGCCCAGGGGGTTGGCACAGACAAGCAGGACACACACTATGGAGAGCAAAGGGATGAGCACGGCAGTCCCAGGCAGGCAGAAACTCCAGGAAGGAGGAGGTGGGGAAGAAAGGGGGGTTAGTTGGGGGCAAAAGGAGAGGTAAGATCAACCAGGAGCAGTCCAGAGTGATGCACCAGCCCAAGAGGGGCTTGCTAAGGAGTGGGGGGCTCACAGCACCCACCTCTGCTCCCACTCTCATTTGCCTCGAAGGGTCAAGCACCGGACAAGACCCCAGTGCACTGCCAGGCATTCCCATTCCAGCAGCGAGAGTTTGGGGCCAGGGATGGGAGCAAAAGCAGGGCAACCTCTCCATCCCGGGGGCTCTCAAGCAAAACTAGAGAGGTGGGGAGCAGTGAGAAGAGGCCAGGACTGTCACTGGCCACGGAGAAGGGGGGAGAGCCGACCTCCCAGCGGAGATGTCCGGGTAGGGAGCAGAGGGTGATGCGAGGACACAACTCCTTCCTCCACACAGGCAACACTGTAAAACACAAGACACAGACGAGAAAGGAAAGAGAGAGAAAGAAGGAGGGAGAAAGAGGGGAGGGGGAGAGCAGAGAGAAGGAGGGAGGGGAAAAAAAAAGATGCAACTACAGACACCTTCCTTCCCTCCACCTCCTGTCCACGTCGGCCTCATCCCATCCCTCCTTTCTCACCTGCACCATCACAGTGCCAGAATAGAAAAGGATTGAAAACAAGGCTTTTTTGGACTGTTTTGTTTGGCTTTGCCTCCTTTGCTTGGCTGCTGGAAAAGACAGCAGAGAGCCCAGAGTCTATTAGACAGGTATGTGTGGGAGATCAAAACACTGCCCATTCTAACAGGCTCCTTCATTCCCTCCCTTTCCCAGCTCCTCCTGCATTCTCCCGGCACCAAGGCATGGATGAACTCAGCAGCACTGAGCTCACACAGGATGCTTTCCTAAGCTGATGGGGAGTGAAAAAGCTGCCCACACCTCATGGGGGCTGGTTACAGGACTGCCTGGAGCTGTCACACAGACTTTGGAATCCCAGGCTTTGGCAGACAGAGCCCCAGTTTTGATTGATTCCCCCAGATTATGACCTTTTTTTTTGCTGCCATCCCACAAGGACGTGGTTCCTGAAAGCAGATGGGCACATCTGCTGTCCTCACCTGGAGGAAGAGAAGTTGGTGGGAAGCTAAAATAAAGTGGGATGGGGAGAGGAATGGCAGGTGCATCAGGACCACGTCCTGCTGTCTGCTGGCCTCCCTCCATGGAACACGGGGGGAATGATGCATGGCTGACAGCAGGGTCACGAGCAGCACCAGTTCCCTGCTCATCCTAGAAATTTGGGAAGCCTCAGCCTCTAAAGGAGGCACAGGGAAGGGTTTGTGGAGAGCCCAGGGCACCAGGGCTGCAAACAACCACCCCTTGGCCCTGCTGCTGCAGGATCCCAGCCCTCCCTGTAGGGAAAACTTGGGGAACTGACTCCTAAATATTCACCCACCAGAAACACAGGCAAACAGACAATCCAAAACAACAGCTGTGATTGTATTGAGTGTGATTTTCGGAGCCTGACAAACGGTTCTCAAGCAGCTGGGTCTGGCAGCATTAAAAACCTACAGCGGGAGCACAAAGCCAACAAAACAGATCCGCAACATGGGGCCTAATTCCCAAGTACTTCAGGAGGTTTAATGCAGCTGATACCTTATAAAAACATCAGCTTAAAATATCAGGACACGGTTCCAGAGCTAGTAAAAACCAACTGGAGCTGAAATGAACAGTCCTTCCAACTCGTACAAATCAATCCAGTGACTGCGTTTCAACATCTTTCATTTTCCGTGTGACAAATTTAAAACTGGACATTCCCAACATCCTGGGGACCCAAAGCCCCATCCTATCACATCCTCCTGAAAAAGATCCATTGGAAAGGTCAAAAGCTTCTCCTAGAGACAAGACAAAGACATGGTGAGATCTCCAGAGAGCAGGCACGCTGGGAAGAGTTCCTTACGGAGAGCACCTGGAGCTGAGAGAAGCAGGCAGGCATGGAGGGGGGAGAGCATGGAAGGAGCTTGGAGACTGGCACTACCCTGGGAAGAGGAATGAATGGCATGGGCTGCAGGGAGCTGCGTGGTGGTGGATGAGAGAAACCAGCTGGACGTCACGGACAACAAAAAGATTCTCCCCCGCGTTACTGAGCACATCAGACAGAGACGAGACCACGGGGGGAACACATGCACATGACACAAGGACTGCTGGAAGGAGAAAGAATGGGGATACTGAGGGCTCGCTGGGACACAAGACCGAGGAGACCCTGTGGCTTGCTCGGTGGGCACCACCCACACTTACCTGCGGCTCTTCCCTGCACGGAAGGACGGGCATGGGGACGATGCCGGGAGGGCACCGGCGCCCGGCGGGCGGGGGGTACCAGTATTCCCGAGGGCAGCCAGTGCTGTGCTTACCACAGGGTCCGCTGTGCTTGACGGGGATGGCGGCCTTCTGGTGGCACTCTGCCTTCTGGCGCTCGCAGTCGTTGCCGTAGGTGCGGCTGTCGCGGGCGCAGACGGGCCGGAAGGCGCCGTCGCAGGCGATGCGGTCGCAGGAGCAGCGCGCGGAGCCGCGGCGGTTCAGGCACACCCCGTTGAACTTGCACTCGTCCCTGCACTTGTCTGGGGGCGGGGGAGAGCACAGCACAGCTCACACTCATGCCCCAGGGACATGGGTGGGGACAGGGGATGGCAGGGGAAGTGGGATGCAGCGGTCGCGCGGAGCGGCGAGGAAGGTCGGGGATGCGAACGCTCCGCAGGGAGGGGCAGAGAGAGGTACTTACCCTGCTGCTGGCACTGCCCTGAACGCACCTTCTGGATCTCCAGGCCCCGGATGGCCCCCGAGCGCCCCATCACGCACTCGTTCTCGTAGGTGACGCCGTCGTCCCCGCACACGGGCTCCCTCCGGGGCGGGCAGCCCTCGGGGCGCGGCAGCAGCTCCGCCCGCCGGGTGCGGGGGTTCACCCGGCACACGCGGTTCATGTCGTTGAGGACGCCTTTGCAGGGGTCTGTGTGTGGAGCAGGGAGTCAGACCCCGCCATTCCCTGCCCGGGGAGGCGCTTCCCGGGCTGGGCTCCTTCCCCGGGCAGCCCCTTCCCGGGCTGGGCTCCTTCCCCGGGCAGCCCCTTCCCGGGCTGGGCTCCTTCCCCGGGCAGCCCCAATCGCTCCATGCCTTCCCCCGTGGCACTCGGCGTGTGCTCGGCTGGTCCCTCACACTGGGCTCTGCATGCGCAGGACTTGGTTTTTACTGGGCTGCTCACACGCCACGGGCACGTGCCTTTTCCAAAGGGACCACTGATGGCATGAGCCCTGCCTTTTTGCCCAGCCTGAGCTGCCTTCACTCCCCTCTGTTTCTCTCCTGAGCCAGGTGAATCTCCAGATCCCAAAGGTGGGCACTGCGGGGTGCTTGGTACTCCCATCCCACTCCTTCCACACTCCCTCCCTGTCTTCCCAAAGTGCTGGAAGAGCCCTGAAAGCAGCCAGGGCCACAGGCTGCCAAGCCCCACAACTCTAATCTAAGTTTAGGCTCTAATCTAGGCTTATCTGGATCCCCCTGTCTGATGAGCTGAGCTCACTTCAGCCACACCAAAGACACGGGCAAAACAGGTGCCTCCTGCCCGCTATAATCCCTGCTGGAGCCCTGGGATTTATCCCCTCCTTGCCAAGCAGGCACTTGGAGAGTGCTGATTCATTGTCTGCAACTGCAGAAGCACCAGGGGATGTTCCCACCCTTTAATCCCACTAGTCCGAAATCCAGGCTGACAAGGGGAGGCAACAGTAAAACAAAGAGGGACGTCCCTTTTGGCCATCCCCACATCCCCGTGGAGAAGGCTGGCCCAGGACAGGGTCACAGCTGAATTCTTTTGCTTTGCCCATTTTAGCATGGAAATTAAGCGGTTTGCCCGTCCCCACTCTGCCCTACCTCCAGCACATCCTCAAGCCTTAAAGCAACACCCAACAGAGTCCAAATAACCCCTTTTTCCCCCAGATTTTCAGGTTCTACAGCCCAGCTGCTCAACCCAGACTGCCTGAGCTTCTCCTGGTGCCCAGCTGAGATCACAAGGTGCTCAAAAGAGGCCCAAAGCTCATTCTCTGCCCTAGAAACCTGGAGCACCCAGCGTGGCATCACCTCCTTCACACCTCCCGCTTGCACCCATGTTTGCCCCACTTGGAGCGGTGAAAGCACAATTCCAGCTCTTCCAGGTTTCCAGCCTGGCCCAACACACTCCCACACTCCTCTCCCCGGGGTCAAACGCTGCTCTGGCACGTGGCTTGGCTGATCTCATGGTTTTCCTAATGAATACAGCTGCTTTTAATTACCAGTGCCCACAGCCACCACGAGCCGGAGAGGAATCCACCCTCGGAGCTCGGGACTGTTTGTGCTCCGGGATCTGTGCCTGGCAGGATGCTTTAATTAGCAGGAGCTGCCTGGGATGCTGGTGAGCAGCAGGCTCCCTGCCAAAAGCACAGCCGGGGGACTGCGGTCAGGGGAACAGCAGGAGGGAAAGGAGGTGGCACAGATGTTGGAATTGCTCTCTAGGTCAGTGGGTCCCAAGCAGAAACAATTGCTGCAGGGGAAGCACTGGCTTGCTCCGAGTTTCAGAAGCTGTCACGCACAGACTGATCCTTTTCTCCCTAAACCGACCCGTTTCTGCCCAAACCAACGTTTTTTGCTGTCCAAACTGACCTTTTTCTGCCCAGACTGACCTTTCTGAGCTGACGGCAGCAGGAGCTCAGCCACGTTTTCCTCCCCAACCCCTCCCCTTTCCCACCGGTTCATCCTCAATATCCCTAACCCAGGTGGACGCGTTTTTAAAACCCTTCTCCCCCCAGCTATTTAAAGACCCCAGGGAGGGGGCAGAGGACTCACCACAGAGGCCATCAAACTTCTTGAAAACGTTCTCCTGCTTGTCACAGGCGTGCTTGTTGAGGTCGCACTCGCTGCGATAGTCGCGGCCGTCGCTGCCGCACACGGGATTCTCGGGAACGCCGCTGCAGGAGGACGGACACACGCACTTGGCCGACTGGCCATCGGTGGAACGGACACAGGTGCTGCCAAAACTGCAGGTCACCTCTGCACAGGGGTCCTTGGAGCCTGGGGGAGAGAGTAGGAGGCACGGGACAGGCGTGAGCACGGCGGGGCTGCTCCCGCGCTGCGCTCCTTCCTCCCATGGGACAAATAATCCCGATGTATCCCGGTATCAGCCAGGCAGCCCTACCCCTCCAAGTGCCCAAAAACATGCACAGCACCAATAGATGTCCTCCCATCAGCTTCAGTCCAGCTGCTCCTGAGCAGAGCTCGTCCCCCCGATGAGTGGTGACGCTTGGCCACGTTGACAGGCGGGATGGTGAGGCTGTAGGATCAGCCCCAGCCCCACAAAAGGGAGCTCCCTCCTCACCTGGCCTTCCTCCTCTCCTCTCTAAACCTCTGAGCCTCACTACTGCACGCTCCCTTCCCTGCACAGGCTCTCTGAGAGCCTCTTGCTCCAGCCTTGAGGGTCCTCAAGGCACCTCCTGCAAACCTTAATTAGAGGAAGAGCTCAAGGAGCAATTTCCTCACAGAGAAGGAAGGGCCAAAATTTGCCAGCTTCTCTTTTATTTTTTTGCCTTTTTTTTTTCCCCTTTATTTGTCACTTTATGATTATGATTTGAAATAAATCTCTCGGTGCTCTCTCCCCTGTGCCAAGAGCCCCAGCAGGAGGGCCGGGTGTGGATTTATTGCAGAGCCAGCACGCCGAGCGAGGGAAAGGTCAAGTTAATTTACTCAAGAGATGAGGAGACCGGGGGGTCTCATTTACACAGCTCCTTGCTCACAGCTGGTGAAGGCCAGGCTGGGGAAGGGCTTTTATCAGCCCACCCAGCCCGTGCATGAGCCAGCTTCCACTTCCAGCTGTGGCAGATGTGACCCACCCTGGGGAGGTGGGGTGGGGCAGCAGGTAGAGATGTCACCCCCCCCTTCCCTGAACAGCCTCTGGCCATCATTTCACCTTCTTACTCCACTCTGCTGATCACCAGGGCAGAGCTGGTAATTCCCTCAGTGTCCCCTCCCATCCTGCAGGACATCTTTCCAGAGAGGGTGATCAGCCATTGGAATGGGCTGCCCAGGGAAGGGGTGGATTCTCTGTCCCTGGAGGTTTTTAAGCTGAGACTGGATGTGGCATCAGTGCCATGGGCTGGGAACCACAGCGGGGTTGGATCAAGGGTTGGACTTGATGATCTTGGAGGTCCCTTCCAACCCAGCTGATTCTAGGATTCTGTGATCAGGGATGCCTGACCAGGGCTGTTCCTATGGGGTTGCCACGCACCCCCTGAACAGCCTTTGGCCATCACTTTACCTTCTTATTACACTCTGCTGATCAGCTGGTGATTCCCTCGTGTCCCTTCCCATCAGACACGTCCCCATCACCCAGGACATGGCCAGTGAGACATCACTGAGCTCAGGACAAGTCTCCCTGGACCCTCCACGAGGAGATCCTGTCCTCACTCACCACACGGCCCCTTGCTGATGACCTTGATCCTCCTCTGCTGGTTGCACTGAGCCTTCTCCAGCTCACACTCGTTGCTGTAGGTGGAGTAATCCGAGCCACAGACGGGGGCCACCACGACAGGACAGGCTGTTTTCTTGCAGACACAGGAGGCCTGGGAGGGGTCGGTGGAGCTCCTCTCACACACAGCCCCGAACCCGCACAGCATCCCCCGGCACACTGCGGGCACAGACACGGAGAGAAGGGTGAGCCACGGCCCCTCTGCCCACAGGAGGGTTCCAGAGGGATGCACCCACCCGTGCCAGCACCCTCCCTTCCCTGGCAGAGCAGCCCACACCACCCAGGCTCAGGACAGGGAGTGCTGCAGCCTTCAAGGATACCCAGACTTCCAGGAGGATGCTCCAGGCACAGCAAGGTCCTTTCCTGGCTTAGGACAAGGATTTCACCACCTTGGCACGTTGCCTCTTGCTGCCTGCCAGGGAGTTAAGCTGGGTTTTTCTCCAGGGACACCAAGGGTGACATGTTTGGGGTGTAGGGGCACCCAGCCACAGTTCCAGAGCCACCCACCCCAAAGCCACGAGAACAAGGGTCTGCCCTGCCAGGGCTGCTGTACCCCGGGCTCCCAACTCCTGCCTGTGCCCAGCAAAGACACAGGCAAGCTCAGCACCTGATCCACAGAGCACAGGGACCACGGGGAAGGGCAGCATGGCCTGGTGACTGAGCCCTGCTGCCCTTTGAGAGTGGCCAGGTGAGGCAGAGGATGTGCCAGGCACCTTCATCCCACACGAGGGTAGGGAGGGAAAAGGCTGGGGTGCAGCACAGTCTAAAAGGAACCAACACACCCGTGGTCTTGTCCCCTCTGTGCCCCTTCTGCTTATTGTCAGCACGAACTGGAGAAAGAAAGGTCTGTCCCCAGCCCTGCAGTCCAGCAGGGAGGTCAAGGGCAGCAGGGAGATGCCTCTGATCCCACTGCACAGAGGAGCATCCCCAGCACTCCAGGAAGCTCTGCCCAGGATCCCTCTGATCAAGCTGAGTCCTCCACAGCACAACTGAGAGCGTTTTCTGCTCACCAGCAAGGGAAAGAGAAGGCAAGGAACAGAGAAGGAAACGTCCTCACCTGTCTCAGTGTGGGACAGATCATCCCACACACACACACACACACAGCCTGATTTACAGCCCTGTATGCAAAGCAGCCACACCACAACTCCCAGGGAGATGCAGGAATCTCTTTATCACATCCACTAATCAGAGCAGCCAGCACAGGCCAGTTCAGCATCTGAATTGCTAATGTGGCAGGAGATGTCATTCTTCAGTGGGAGAGAGGGAGGGAGAGGACAGGTGTCTCCAGACCCAGGGGGCACAGGTGAGAGACAGAGAGAGTGAGAGATGCCAGAGCTTTGTGCCCCTTGGGTGTGCCACAGGCACAGCCTGACACTCACAACATGCCCTGCTGGGCAGGTAAATGCCATAGAATCATGGAATATCCTGAGCTGGGAGGGACCCACAAGGATCAGAGTCCAACTCCCAGCCCTGCCCAGGACACCCCAACAATCCTACCCTGTCCCTCAGAGCATTGTCCAAACCCTCCTGGAGCTCTGGCAGCCTTGGGGCTGTGCCCAGTGCCCTGGGGAGCGTGTTCAGTGCCCAACCACCCTCTGAGGGAAGAACCTTTCCCTGATACCCAACCTAAACCTGCACTGGCATCACCACCACAGCACCCACCACCCCCGGGCACCCCTCACCTCCCCGTGCCCTCCCCCTCACGCAGCCCCAACGTTAGAAATGGAGATTGACCTACATAATGAGAGAAAGAGAAATCATAAAAGGCAAAATAAAACGCTCAGCGGCGGCTCATTTACACTTCAATTCCCGGGCGTTTGGCTCCGGCTGCCTCGAGATTCCCGAGCTCACACACGCGCGGCAACAATGCGCCACTACAGGCTAATATCATGAAATAAAAAAGGAACTCTCTTCCTCTCCTGCCCAATATCTAAAGGCAATTCATCATTTTTATGAAGCTCTCTGGATAGTCTCTCCTGCACTTCCCACTGCTGCTCTTTCTCCCTTTTGATTTTTTTTTTTTAATGCAGATGAGATTAGAGGGTGCAGAGGAGTGGGAAAAGCAGGATTTATCCCGTTCCCTCCACTCCCAGGCACAGCTCTGTGGAGCAGGGATGTACCTGTGATGCACCATCAGTCGCAGGGGAGGCTGAGATGGAGCTGCCCTGGAGCTCAGAGAGATGGAAGGGAAGGGAGCTGGGGTGTGCAGATGTGGGATGCAGAGCCAGATGTGGGATGCAGAGACATGAGCAGGATGCAGAGCCAGAGTTCAACCAGGTGCCTGCTCAAAGATGATGGGGAGAGGTGCCCATTTGAAGCCACCTGCCCAGCTGCAGATGGGAAACCAAGGTGGGAAGCACATCCAGGGTTTTAAAGCAGGTGGCACAGACAACTCACTCCTTCCCTGAGCTCTTCTGTTCTTGCCTCAGAGTGTGGGAAAGGAGCCTCACACATCCAAGGCAGGGGCTGCCAGGTCTGGTCCCACCCAAACTGGAGAAGTTTTTGGTAGGAGCCAGTTCAGGGCGGAATAAACTACCCCAAAAACCCCAATCCCAAGACCCTTGCTGCTGTTTTTGGCTGTGTTTCCCTCCCACCTGACTCACACTGCCCAGGGAAGTGGAGCAATCACCATCCCTGGAAGTGTTCAAAAAATGTCTGGATGTGGCACTTGGGGACATGGCTGAGTGGTGAACACTGTGCTGGACTCAAAAGACCTTGGAGAGCTTTTCCAACCTCAACATTTCCATGTTTCTATGATTCTCTGCAACAACAGCACTTCTGCCTTTGGTCCCTGTGCTCCACAATTTCCAGCCTGTGAACTGGGCAGGAAAAAAAAAGCTTTCAGCCCTGGACAGGACTTCAGAAGAAATGAAAACACTGCTCATGGCTTTGCCATGTCTTCTTCAAAGACACTTTTAAAGTTGTTCTTTTAGATTTTGGAGCCAAACTGGGTCCTGTCACCTTTTAAGTGATCTTCCCTCTAATTATTTCACCTGCATATTTTAAAGAATCTCTTCATCTGAAGTGATAAAAGCAATGGTAAACGACAGAAAGGCCACAATGCATTATCAAGTTAATTGGGTCAAGCCACATAAAGAAAACTGCTATTTTATAAGTCTCAATCTATCCTTACCCCCAGAACTGTATTTCACAAACACTTTTATTTGATAAACACTTGAGGAACATAATATGCCAACAAGTGAGCAAAAGAGACGATATAAAAGGTATTTATTTACCTCCTGTTCCACATCAGCTGAATGTTGTACCAGTGAGCTGTTACAGCCCCGGTGTTTGACAGACACCTTCCCACTCCCTGCCAACCAGCTCCAGCCCTGGGAGAGCAGGAATCACAGAGTCATGGGATGCTTTGAGTTATAAGGGACCCTAAAGACCATCTCATTCCACCTCCTGCCATGGGCAGGGACACCTTCCATAGCCCAGGTTGCTCCAAGCCCCGTCCAACCCGGCCTTGGACACTTCCAGGGATGGGGAGTCCACAACTTCCCTGGTCAACCTGTGCCAGTGACTCACCACCTGCACAGAGAAGAATTCCTTCCTGATATCCAATCTAAATCTCTCCTCTTTCACTTTAAAACCTTTTGTCCTATCACTTGCTCAAGGCTGAGCTTCAAAACTGGAAAGGGCAGCGGGGCTGTGAAGGGAGGTGAGAGCACAGCTCTGGTTAAATCATCCCAGCGCTGCAGAGACAGGCCACAGCGAGGCATTTGGCAAACAATGACAGCAGCACTTGTCTGGAGCCAAAAAAAGCTTGGAGCTGACCTTTCCCAAACCTCCTGAGCAGCCAGAGATGAGGGAGAGAGGCAGCTCAGTGAGGTATCCATCCAGCACTCCAGCAAGCTGCAGGGAACAAAAGGAAAGGGCTCAGGCTCATTGTCACCACGCTGAATTCCAGCCAAGCCTCTCCCTGGCTCTTAGCAGCACTGGAGCAGAAAGGGGATAATAAATAACAACAACAACAATAATAATAGAAATGAGTTTTCTAGAGAGGAAGGGGAAAGCAAAAAAGGTGTCATCGCAAATAATTCACGTCCCCACGCTTCCCACCCCAGCTGAGCCAGCGGGATTCCATGGGCAGCTCCTCAGCCCCAGGCTGGGCCTGCACCAGGGAAAAGGCTTTGGGAAGAGATCAAGGCTCGGGGAAAGACCTGCCTGGGTTCAGAGCCTCGGCTCCAGGTCAGGTGTGCTGTGCCCTGAGGCTCTGTCTTCCAACCTCCAGTGACCTCCCAGTTCAGGGAAAGAGCATAAAGGGATGCTAACGAGGGCTCCCTGTCCTCTGGCTAATTTGGGAAGGTGAGGGGCACACCAGCCTCTCCTCTGAACAGTCCAGACAAGAGGAAGGACACTGCCACAGCCTGGAGAACAGGCCATCCAGTCCAGCTCCTGGCCCTGAACAGACACCCCAACAATTCCATGTTGTCCAAACGCTCCTGGAGCTCTGGCAGCCCTGAGGCCATGCCCGCTGCCCTGGGGAGCCTATTCAGTGCCTAACCATCCTCTGGATATTCCCTAATATCCAACCTAACTCTCCTCTGGCACAGCTTTGTGCCACAAGCAAAGAAAAGGGGAAAGGAGAGAGGTGATAAGGAACCTCTGGGAGCTGTTGGCACCATCAGAGCAAAGCTGCTCCTGCACAAAGAAGAACAACTGCCCACAGCACCAGGTGTAATGACACCAGTCCCAAAGTGCCACCCCAGCCATGACACTTCCTCAGGCAGCCCCTAATTAGCAGCAGGGAGGGACTGGAATGCTTCATTACCAGGGAAGGCCCTGCCAAGGTGCAGCTCAGCATCTCCCTGAGCAGGTGGCTGGTGCTCCACGAGTGGCTGCCAGGGCAGATGGCACCAGCTCCACCTCCTTGTCTCCAACAGGGCCTGCAGATGCCCCAAACGGCTGGAAGGACAGCTGGGAACAGGATGGATCCACTGTGGCCAAGAGGAAGGGCAGAGCCACCCTGAGAGTGGCCATGAGCCACCCACGGCTCTGCTCTGCAGAGGGAGGGGGGAGTTGGTGTGGGGATGCAGGAGCTGGGTTGGGGATGCAGGAGTGGAACAGTGTGGGGATGCAGGAGCTGGGTTGGTGTATGATGCAGGAGATGAGGCAGTTTAGGGATGCAGGAGCTGGGTTGGTGTGGGATGCAG